CATCTTCTTCGGGGATTTGAGACATACTGAAAATATAGCACTAATTATCTTAGATCAGGAACATTTTACTTGCGAAGCAATTCACTAGGTTGGTGATAGGTGAGGCCTTGTCAGTTGCCAAGTTGCTTGAGATGCTCTCTCTATGCGTTGTTGCGAGGTGATTCGTGGCCACCAAATGTTGTAGTGGGGTGTTGGCCTCTTGGTGACTTTAAAGCATTAGATAGATTGAATGTGACAAGTGAGACCCTCTCTATGCAACTTTGCAAGGCGGCTAACTATGTATTGGCCCGAGGGACGTATTACCTCTTGCATGGAGGATGGATGTTGGCCTCGCGGGACCACTAACTCTAAGACAGAGACGCCAGAAATATAATTACTATTGACCACCTAGATCCTTATAAGCCAGTAAAGCATTCTAATTAATGGTATGTATTGCTGGGGAGCCAAGGTGGCTAATAACGTACCTGGTGTCGAATATCGTTCAGGTGTAGGGTCTGTATACAGAAAAATACAATCTATAAATTGGAAAGAGAAGTAATAGCAAATAATGCAGTAGAATTTTGGACACCAAGAAAAGCGCTGAAATAAATTGCACTCACAAAATAGTCGTAGACTGCAGGCACATAAATCATTTAAAGATGAAAGGAGCTCAATACTCTTCTCTTTTGTCCTTAAGAGGGATTAAAAAGAGAGACACAGACATAGTGCACCAATAAAGTAACATGTGTAAAATTTATTTAAGATTACACTCACAAGATGTATGGTAAAAATCAGCATATCACAATGTAGTCCTTGTCCAGACTGGGAAGCTTCAAGGAGGTTCCTCAGATCAGTAGACACAAAACAGGATAGCCGGATGGAAACAAAATATACAAACACATACAAAAAGTAAATAAATAAAAACCAATAAAAAGAAAGTTCAAGTGCTGAAGGGGTCTTTCCGCGGACATATGTTATTTGCATTGATTCAGCTTGTGACCCTCGCCGGGATTTGTTTTTTAAAATGAACGAATTTCTCGCTGAACCCCACTAATTCATGTGAATGACAATTATTAGACACAAGCACTCTATACGGCCACAGAGCTTTCGTTCCTGCATAACCTAACCTGAACTTACAGTTGAATCATGCAAACGCTGTTGTGCGTGTAAGTCTAAGAAGCCTTTCATAACGAAAGAGCCAAATGGGTTGGTATACGTGCAGGCGTATAGCCTGAAAGCTTTCCACGAAAGGGACCTGAGGCCAGCGTTCAAATGGTTCAAAAAATGAATGAAAAGTGAATAGAATCAAACTGCGATGATGCCTTGGGAGTGCTCTGGCGCGACTGCCTATCCACACGGTCGGAGGTCAGCAGATGCTTCTGGGCCAATTTGCCATACGGAAGACTAAAGCAGGAGCAGATTGCAGCAACTAAACCTGTACTGGAGGTGGCTGGGATCCAGATGGGATGTATGAAAACTGCCGAGCAGAAAACCGGAGTCAACAGCAGAGCAGGAGACAGCAGTAGTTCCACGTGGACAGGTGAGTTATGCATGGCGGTCTGCATGCACTGGAAGTAGCAGCATGCAGACTGCCAGACCATTGACGGTAGGGTAGGAAAGGAGGGAGTCCCTTTAACAAGCCCTTCTCACAACTCCAGGCAAAACCTGGAGTATATATTTAAGGCTGGGCCTGTAGTTGTGGGAGGAGCTTGGGTCACATTTATAAGGGCATCCAATCCTCTCCCACTTTACCGGGATTGGTCTGGTGAGTTGAACTTATCTGTATCCTCGTGATCCGGTCTCCTGGCTTGCTGCCCATTTTTCTTCACATTTTCTGACCGCTGAAGTTCACCTCCCATGTGGCTTACCTGTACCATCGCTTTATGGAGGTCCTGCTGCTGCCGTCTGTCTGTTCCACAAGGTCTGGTTGCTACACAGTAAGTTTGCCTGATGGGTGCTTCTTTGCTTGCTGTCTGGACCAGGGGCTCGGGTCTCTTCGGGCTCACCGGGCTCTGCCAGCACCCCGGCTGTGCCTGTTGCCAGCTGCTGAGACTCCCCACACACCGGCGGTAAGTACCCATCGAGCCAGGGCCGAGAATGGCACACCGCTGGCAAGTCGGCTACTGTTGCGTGCAGCTCCCTGGGTCTACTACCTGCCATGGCTGACCTCTGGCACCCCTGCTGGAATGTCTTCCACTCACGTGATGCTCAGCCAGCTGGTATGTGGTCTACCTCTCTCCTGCTGCTCGGCCTGCTGGTATGGTGTATGCCTCTCTCATGGTGCTCAGCCAGCTGGTCTGGTGTCTGCCACTCTCTTGGTGCTCAGCCAGCTGGTCTGGTGTCTCCTGGAATTATAATTTATGTCCTCCTGGCATTATAATTTATGTTGAAAATTACATAAAGTTCACCCCCTTAAAAGATTTAGCTCTCCTGCCACCTTTGATTTCCTTTCCGGCACAATTGAGATCCCATGCAGTAGATCAATCATTGTTGCAGGAATCTACCGCCCATCTAGCTCCCCAGTTCTTACATTCCCCTTCTGACATATCCCATCTCCTTAGTGAAACCATAGCTCAAAACCCAAAAAGTGAACTGTTCATCTTTGAAGATATTAATATTGATTGGCTGATTCCTAAAAAAAATAATAGTTCTTGCTCGCTGTTTAAGACTTTGTGGCTAACGCAATTAATCTCCTCCCCAACTCACATAAACATTAAAAGCCATAGCCATACCCTGCTAGATTGGATTCTTCTCCTGATAGAATCCAGGAGTCAGGTGTTCTCCCTAATAGTTTCAGTGACCACTGCTTAGTGTACTGCGTGCACAAAATAAAGGCTACTAAATCCTTTCCCCAAGGGTAAAATCACCAGGTCATACATGGAAATTACTCTGCAATACCAGCACCGGTCAGTAGGGGTCACTATGTGTGGAGAGAGGCAGGGATAGGAAGTTACAGAATATCCCTGCCTCTCTCTACTACTCACTGATCCGTGGGGGAGCAGCTACACAGCACAGAGAGTCCAGACAGCAGCTGTACAGCTCATGTAAGACACTGAGACACTAGGGGACACAGACACTAGGGGACACATGATGACACATACACTAGGGGACACTGAGACACTAGGACACAGACACTGGGAACACTGAGGCACTTGGGGACACTGGAAAAAATGGGGACACTGAGACACTTGGGGACATGGGGACACAGACACTAGGGGACACATGGGAACACAGACACTAGGGGACACTGAAACACTAGGACACATGGGGACACAGACACTGTGAGACCTGGGGACACAGACACTGTGAGACCTGGGGACACAGACACTTGGGGACACTGGAAAACATGGGGACACTGAGACACTAGGGGACACATGGGGATGCTGAGACACAGGGGGACGCTGTGAGACATAGGGACATTTGGAGACATTGGGACACGGAGACACTATGTGACCCAGCCAGTGTCCCTAGGGTCTCAGTGTCCCCAAGTCTCACCGTGTCTGTGTCCCATGTCTCTCAGTGTGCCTAGTGTCTCCATGTGTCCCAATGTCCCCATGTCTATGTCCACAACTGTCCCCATGTCTCCCCAAGTGTCTGTCTCCCAGCCAGTGTCCCCTAGTCTCCCAGTATCCCCTAATCTCCCAGTGTCCCCTAGTCTCCCAGTGTCTCTGTCCTTAGTGTCTTAGTGTCCCCAAATGTTTCAGTGTCTCCATGTCTCCCAGTGTCTGTGTTCTTAGTGTCTCAGTGTGCCTGGTGTCCCCATGTCTCCCAGTGTCCCTATATGTCCCAGTGTCCACATGTCTATGTCCACAACTGTCCCCATGTCTCCCAGTGTCCCCAAGTGTCTGTCTCCCAGCCAGTGTCCCCTAGTCTCCCAGTGTCCCCTAGTCTCTCAGTATCTGTGTTCCCATGTCTGTGTCTTAGTGTCCCCAAATGTTTCAGTGTCCCCATGTCTCCCAGTGTCTGTGTCCCTAGTGTCTCAGTGTCCCCATTTCTCCCAGTTTCCCTAAATGTCTCAGTGTCCCCATGTCTCCCAGTGTCCCCATGTCTCTGTGTCCCCGGGTCTCTCAGTGTCCCCATGTCTCTCAGTGTCCCCAGTATCCTAGTGACATTGGCACACACTGAGACATTGGGACACTGGGAGAAATGGGGACACAGACACTGGGAGACTAGGGGACTGGGCGAGATGGGGACACTGACACTGTGATACATAGGGACACTGAGACACTGGGTGACTTGCGAGACTGAGATACTGGGAGACACTGGGAGCAATCCATCTATACAGCAGAATCAAACTGTGAGTAGTTTGTTGGTGATTTTACAGAATGTTACTCCTTGTGATTTACACGTATAACTAATTAATTATACAAATGATTAAGGCTGGTAATTTTTTTCCAAGAAAGGTGGCAACCTTAACTACTCTTCACATACTCTTGCTTAAAGGAGCACTATAGTGTCAGGAACACAATCATGTATTTCTTACCATATTATGTTAAAACCACCACCCTGGCCCTTTCTTACCTCCCTAAATATAGTAAAATATTACTTGTATTCAATTCTGCAGCTGCTGGCTCAGAAGTGGTGGTCTGAGCAAATTACAATACTTCCCCATAGGATTGGCTGAGACTGTCAACTAGGCAGATCAGGGGCAGAGCCAGCACAAGTCCAACATAGCCCTGGCCAATCAGCATCTCCTCATAAAGATAAATTGAATCAATTCATCTCTATGAGGAAAGTTCAGTGTCTGCATGCAGAGGGTGGAGACACTGAATGGCAGTGCTGCACACTAGGCAGTACTGCCCCAGGAAGCACCTCTAGCAGCCATCTAAGGAGCGGCCAGTGGAGTTATTTTCTCTGAAAAGACAGTGTTTACTGCAAAAAGCCTGAATGGAATGATTCTACTTACCAGAACAAATACAATAAGCTGTAGTTGTTCTGATGACTATAGTGTCCCTTTAAGTTTGGAAGCTTAAGAGGGATGTATGGGACCAAAACTTGTGTGCACTGGCTGACATTAAAGATAGTTTAGGTAATGCAGATGTTGGTCTCTCTAACACTGTGGCATGTCCCCTTTCTTCTACACTCACTACAGACACCTTTTCTCTGTCTCAGACTATACCAGGAACTTCTGCCTGCTAGTAAGAAGGTAAGGAGACAAGTGGACCAGTGAGTGCTAGGGGACAGTCCTTAGAAAGAATGGAGTGAGTGCATCATTAGACGCATTTATGTCAAGCTCAAGGTGCTGCCTGCATTGTATGCCCTTAGTTGGACAGCCTGCAGGATTGGCAGGCAGCCTGACATGCATTCATGCCAGGCTGACCTTCCAATTCTTTGGACAGACATGCCCCCTTTTTGGGCATGTTCACCCCTTTTGGCAGGTCTTGTCACGTGATTCGCGCCAGTGGCACACCCTTTTACCCCGCCCATTGACTTCCTGCTTCACTGGACACTGCTGTTAGAGGTTATGGATTTACTTGAAAGATGAAAGCATAAATTAGAGAGAGATTAGCATAGAGTATGTGTTTTCTTATAGCTGCATCCTATGAGATTCCCTCCAGCACCATCTCCATCAGATACATGACGCTTGGGAGGTATGATTGTTTTAATGTTTTTGGTCAATAAGATTCCGTAATTAGGCCCATCATAATTGTCAGCACCAGGCCCACTGTGCTCTTAATCCAGCCCTGGGCACAGATTACACTTTATCCCAGATCTAGACTGTGCAGTTGAATTATTTCAGTTGTTCAGAGTAAAAGGGGCACATATGAATTGGATCACAGCTGACATCATTCAAATGTACCAGTTTCGGGATTCATTGTGGTCAAAGTTCAAGCATACTGGCTCTATTAACGCTCAATGTGCATATAGACAATGGCGAAATATATGCACAAACAAACAACATTGTCCAAAGCCCAATATTTCTGTGAAAATCTGAACAATAACATATCAAACCCTAGAAACTTTCTAAAGTCATAAATTACAAACTCCCCCAATCCACTCCCAATCCTCCACTGTCAAAGTGGATAACCAAAGCCTGCAACTTCCCTTAGATGTAGCAAATGCCTTTAACATTAATTTTTTTGGATGCTCCACCACCCTGATTGCTAAAATAATATATAACACATCCTTAACTTTATCCAAAACTAGGTGCCCTGTACAGAAACAAATCCTGCCTAAACCCTACAGTAAAGGAAACGATTGTACACCAAAATGCTGATGCCAATCATTGATTATGGGGATGTAGTATATGGACCTGTACCGCAAACCCACCTTAATAAACTTAATACATTGTATAACTCGTTCTGCCGCTTTGCGCTACAATGTAATTACATGACCCATCCTTGTGACGTGCTAAAAGAACTAAATTCGCTGTCACTGGAATCCAGTCATACCCTTCATCTTTCCAGCATTGTGTTTAAGAGCTTTTCTGGGAAGCTCCCACCCTACCGGAGCAGAATGCTCTCCCCGGCTGTTCCCGCCTCCTATAACCTCCAATCCAGTACCAGCACTTTATTTATTCTACCGCAATACAAAAAGAAAGCAGCCCAATCCTCCATTTCCTACAATTATGGATCGACCTCCCGCACACTTTCAAATCTTCCCCAGGCCTAAAATCCTTTAAGAGATCCCTCTCTACATATCTCAAAACAGAATGCACCTGTCATGGTTGATTATATATCTACTACCTGTTCTATGTTAAATGTTATATATATTGTGTATTAATATTGGTTTTGTATTTTATTGTACTCTATTGTATAAATGCAATGTTTTGTGGATCCAGGGCATACTTGAAAATGAGCGAAATCTCAATGTATCCTTCCTGGTAAAATATTTTATATCTAAATGTTTCAGAGGGGCTAAGGTAGAAGCGACGTTTCTCCTCCAATTCCTCGTATGCAAGATAGATCTTAAAGATATAGCTTTAAACCTTTCTTCCTTGAGAGTGATTTCTCTGCTAACTCTGAGGATTTGATATTTTTGTTGGAAACACAGAAAACAAACTTTGAAATCTCTAGGAATGTTAGCAGATATATTTTGTGGTTTTCTTACCATGTGGAATCTATCAATACACGTGTCTTGATTTTCAATTTTAAAGCCAAGAGTGCTATTGCCACGTTTGTTTTTTTAACCCCACCCCTCCCGGCTCCTCTACATTTGATTGTCAACCTAGTCATGCCCAAATGCCTCTAAATCCCTCATTTCAACCTTTTTACCTCTTTATTTCTCGTTTGGATTTATGTCCTAAGCATCGCCATCTTAGTGTTCGCTGGATGATGTGTACCACATGGGTATCATCTGCCCACACTATCTCATGCTATGAAAATAATACGCATGCCCAGATGTATACTTGGGCATTTGCAATTGTCCAAATTTCAGATCGAATTTCGCCTATTTGTTCATTTGGCAGAAAAATGAATGAGCGAATAGAAACTACAAAAAAAACATTTGTTTAGTTTATTACAAGGAGGGAGCTGCCAGCTCGTGGCTCCCTCTTTTTAATCTGTAAAAATAGAAGCAGCAGGGAACTGTGCTCTCCACCACTTCATAAATCCCCCCATGGTCCCCCTTACCTATGGGGATCAATATGACTCCCACATTAGCATAAGGGAGAATAAAACTCCCTCCTGCCCCTACTCTCTATGCTCTGAGTAAGGGCATGTCTACTAAACAGTGATCAGGCAGTGATTTCTCACTGTTGTTAAAAAAGACTCCCCAAATCCAATAAAGGGGGACTTGACACAGGTCACTAATATGCCCATGGTGGAGCACCTATTTAAATAAATACAAGGGGGGGAATAGTATGCTCCTCCAGCCCCCACCTGTACCCCGGGAGTGGGGACTATTGAACTATTAAACTAAACCTAGTGTCCCCCCCAGCCCTCAGACATTAGCAGTGAGTGGGGGCCCTAAGTAATAATGTGTGTTCCCATTGCTGGTGGGTAGGGGCTATAAGTTATAACGTGCGGGACCTATTGTCCCCCCCCCAACCACAACCCATTGCCAGCAGGTGGAGGCCCTAAGTAATAATGGGGTGCAAACCTGTTGTACCCCCACAGCCCCCACCCATTAGCAGCATGTGTGGACCCTTAGTAATAATGGGTGCAATCTCTTTTTCCCCCCGGCCCCCATCCATGAGGAAAAATAAAAAATTTTCTAACATCTTTTCAGCCCCTAAAGACAACTCAAAATCATGACGATTGAAAAAATAATCCATCTTTACCAGTGAGGGCTCCACGCAGACTGAGCTTTGTAGGGTGGGAAAATGCTTATAAAACCTTCCAATGCCAAGCAAATTGACTCAAAGCACTCGGATTGGTTGGCTTAAGTATGGCTTTTTAAGCCTTTTCTCCAATGGGTGGGGGCTGGGGGGAAAATATTTCCCACCCTTGTGTCACTTAGGGCTCCCCATCCTCTGGCAATAAGTGGGGATGACGACAATAGGTTACCCCATTATTACATCGGTAGAGGCTGGGGGAGGACAATAGGTTCCCCTCTTTATTACTTATGGACCCCCACCTGCCACTAATGGGTGGGGCCTAAGGGGAACAATTGGTTCCCTCCCCCATTATTACTTTGGGTCTCCATCTATCGGCAATGGGTGGCGGCTGGGTGGAAAAACAGGTGTTGGGGCAGTAGGGGTGCTCTGTTGGGGGGTAGGGGTGCTCTGTTGTGGGGGTAGGGGTGTTCTGTTGGGGGAGGGTGCTCTGTTGGGGGGTTTAAGATACATTAAAAAAATTTTTTTTTTTTAAAAGCATACTGAATCAGTATTTCCTCCCCCCCTTCATCTTACCTTTGGTGAAGGGGTGGGGGGGGAACACAGCCATCCCTGGTGGTCCGGTGGTGGTAAGTATGTAGGACCTGCTTCCGGTCCTGCCAACAAGGAAGCAGAGTCTGCTCCTGTCGTTTTGGGCAGGTAGGTGCCTTCTCTGAAGTGATGCCGAACCTACGGCCGCGTGCCCACAGAGAGGGCCCGGCGTGCCATAGGTTCGCCATCATTGCTCCAGGAGCTGATAGGTATGTTTATCAAAGTGTAATGATCAATCCAGCCTTCAAAAATTTATTTTCTTTTTTCTCCCTCTTCCTCCCTTATTTTGAAAATCAACCAGTGAAATAAATTGTCTCCTTGTATCAGGAATAACAATAAGTGACCAACAAAATTAGAACAATTGAACTTAATTAGCAAAGCATATATATATTTTCATCTGACACCTTGGTATGGCCCCTGCCTCATGGAGAGTACAAATTAGTTGTTAAATCAAAATGTATTGACGTTTTGCCTAATAAGGGTAGAACCACATTAACTAATGTGTAACCTCTTTTTACATATCAGATAAATTTAGAGCCTTCAGCCCACAGATTGCAACTATTGCACATTCAGTCACTATAGCCTGTACTTTGTATCTTATTAATCTAATATCTAATATTATAAACAATTATGAATACCGCACTCAAAACGATTATAGTAAAATCTAATCCTGTATTTACTTGCAAAAATATTTATTGTAATGATTATTGGATAAATTCATGAAGTTAATTATAATGACACTCATTTCATCCTATATACATAGATTATATACATATATACACCCAAAATCCTCCCTGTGCTAAAGTTCATGAGCTGTGTGTCTATTTACAATGGGTGATGATCCAAAAAATGGAAAAAAATCCACAAAATGCAAAAAATCAGAAAAATGAAAAAATAGAAAAATATAAGAAAAAAGAAAAGAAAATAAAAAATAAAAAATATATATGATACAGTCCTGAAGACTAATAGTCCAAAATATAGTGCACTATACAATTCATTTGTGTATGGATGGATCTCACCGATATAGATGTTGCTTTAAAGCATGCATAGTAGGAGGATGCTGAAGTCTGTAAGTAGTGTATACCAGATGAGGGTGAAAATGATAGTTGTTGTTTGGTGAAAAGACAGTCAATCATCCATTCTCTGCAGAATCTGGTCGATATGGCAGGTCACTCAATGATCCTTAGAGTGAGCAATCCTTGAAACGGGCTGCGCGCTCGGGACGTTCCTGTCCCTTCGCTGGCCCCTGTTCCTCTCCGACGTTTGTTTGTGATTTAGATTAGGAGGTTGTTGTGGGGTTAAACCTTGAATACCTGCACCTTGCATAATTGAGTGCCAGCACATATTGTGTTTTTATCTAATATTATAGTTGATCAAACAAACACGTACTTTCTGTTGCTTTATATATGTTTTATTTTCTTTGCAGCTTTCCATCTTCAGCATAAAAAAATGATCACAGTTTTACATTTCAATCTTTCTCAAGCCTCCCTGCGTATTTTTTATTCACATATAAAGAGTAG